CTTCCCGCAAATAATGAACAACCAAAGTTTTTGCAACTTTATTTCATGGGCGATGAAAAAAACGAAGCTGATCGCAGGTGTCAAAATATACAAGGAATCGAAAGGGATACTGTTTTAAAAATCCAGAGAATGTTGCATGAACATAATCGCCTTATCAATACTTTCAAAACAGCACTAGAAAGAATGCCGGGAGAGGATTATAGGTTGGTGATGCACCCCGATCGCACACCAAGTGGGGAACATGAAAGGCGGTATAATGCACCGTTAATAAATGAAGTCGCAGCCTTGGTTACAGGCGAACAGTTTGCTTTCCGTGATATAGTTTTACAGGCCCGAGATGACACATTAACCAGGGTGCCTGATACTCATAAATTTTATGATGCGTTGCAATATCCGATCATATTTAGTAAGGGACAAGAGGGGTACCACTTTCAAGTTCCTCAAATTAATCCTGTAACAGGTCTTCCCTTGCATAACAAAAAGGTTTCATGCATGGATTTTTATGCCTACAACATGATGATACGAGAAAACAACTTTAACATTGTACAAAGATGCAAGCAACTGGCCAATCAGTTTTACGTTGACATGTACGTTAAAGTTGAAAGCGAGAGGTTACGGTACATATCATTAAATCAAACTAAACTAAGAGCAGAGAATTACATCCATCTTCAAGACGCTGTGGCAAATGACGCTAATTTAAATCCAAATAACTTAGGTCGTATGGTCATTTTACCATCTTCATTTGTAAATAGCCCGCGGTACTTACACGAATATACTCAGGACGCGTTTGTTTATGTGCGTACACATGGTCGCCCTGACTTATTCGTCACCTTTACTTGCAACCCAGCCTGGCCCGAAATAGTCAATCAGTTGATGCCGGGGCAAAGCGCAATAGATAGACATGATGTAGTCGCAAGAGTTTTTAGACTAAAAGTTAAAAAACTAATGGATGTGATTAATAAAGGCCGAGTGTTCAGAGAAGTGCGCTGCTTTATGTACTCTGTCGAATGGCAGAAACGTGGACTGCCACATGTCCATATATTATTGTGGTTAAAAGATAAGTTACGACCCGATCAAATAGATAACATAATCAGCGCTGAAATACCGGATCCTAACATTGACAAGACTCTCCATGACATTATTGTAAAAAATATGATTCACGGTCCATGCGGACCCGAAAATCCACAGTGCCACTGCATGAAAGACGGAAAATGCACAAAAAAAATTTCCTCGCAAGTTAGTGAAAGAGACCGTTCACAACGACCACGGATACCCGCAGTATCGTAGAAGAGCGCCAGCAGACGGAGGTCGAACAGCAACCGTGAAGCTCCGAAATGGTAGCTACGTTACGGTTGATAATAGTTGGGTAGTCCCCTATTCACCAATTTTATCAAAAATGTTTAACGCCCACATAAATGTTGAGGCATGCAGTTCAGTACGCGCCATCAAATATATTTGCAAATATATAAACAAGGGTAGTGATCAAGCTATTTTCAATTTTAGAAATACTGATCTTGTGAATCCCGTAGATGAGGTACAAACTTATCAGTCTGGTCGGTATGTCAGCAGCAACGAAGCCGTGTGGCGTCTGTTAGCATTTCCGTTGCACGAAAGGCATCCCACCGTGACACATCTCAGCGTGCATTTAGAAAATGGTGAACGCGTTTATTTTAATGAACACAATTTCCACGAACGAATAACTACTCCGCCAAAAACCACACTCACTGCTTTTTTTGATCTTTGTATCAGAGATGAGTTTGCAAAAACTCTTCTTTATGTCGAGGTGCCGAGGTATTATACTTGGGATGCAAGTAGGAAAACTTGGAAACGCCGCATTCAAGGTACTTCAGTTCACGATTGGCCTGGCGTCAAATCTGGAGATGCTTTAGGACGAGTTTATACAGTTCATGTTAGTAACATGGAATGTTTTTGTCTACGCATGCTTTTACACCATGTGCGCGGACCTACCTCTTTCAATGATCTAAAAAAATACAACACACAAGATTATCCTACATTTCGAGAGGCATGTGAGGCAAGAGGATTACTGGAGAATGACAACCATTGGGATGTGACACTGGAAGAAGCTGCTCAATGTAGATCAGCAGGCAAGATGAGAGAGCTATTTGCTGTATTAGTAGCGACATGTGGTCTTTCAAATCCTCAACAATTGTGGGATAAATACAAAAATGATATGACCGACGATATATTGCACAGATTACAAGAGCAAAATCCCAATGTCACGTACAGTGATTTAATTTACAATGAGGGTTTGACAAAAATTGAAGACCACGTTAAAACAATTTCTGGAAAGGATTTATCAGATTATGGAATGATCAGACCACAGAGAACCGAGGAAATCAGTAGCGATTTAATACGGGAACTAGATTACGATACTGCTTCCTTACAACAACAATTGACAGAGTCTGTTCCACGTTTGATCCCAGAACAAAGGTTAGTATTTGACAATGTTTTCAAAAAAATCGAAGATGGCGAAGGTGGTTTGTTATTTTTGGATGCTCCCGGAGGCACGGGAAAAACCTTTCTTTTAAACTTGCTTTTAGCGCAAATCCGAAAAGATAAAGGAATTGCTGTAGCAGTTGCCTCTTCCGGAATAGCCGCCACTCTGCTCAATGGTGGTCGAACGGCACATTCGGTGCTTAAACTGCCATTAAACTTAGCCCATGAAGAAATGCCAGTCTGTAATATAAGTAAAAACAGCGAGCGTGGACGTATGTTGCAGCAATGTAAATTATTAGTTTGGGATGAGTGTACTATGTCCCATAAAAGAGCAATTGAAGCTCTAGATCGGACTTTGAAAGACATCAAGAGTAATCCAAATATCATGGGGGGGATGGTGGTACTTTTAGCGGGCGATTTTAGACAGACTTTGCCGGTTATCACTAAAGGCACCCCTGCAGATGAAATAAATGCGTGTTTAAAAGCGTCAACGTTATGGGTGCACGTAAAAACGTTTAGTCTGTCTACAAATATGAGAGTGCAACTACACAATGATGTACAATCTGGACATTATGCTGCTGCTCTTCTTAAAATTGGAGAAGATCGTATGGCAAAGGATGGTAATGGCATGATTACATTGGATCGTGAATTCTGCAATGTTGTGCATAATCCAGATGATCTAAATAACTTCGTCTATAGCGAACTGCTAACTAATATGAGGAATAGAGACTGGTTATGTGAAAGAGCAATTTTAGCGCCGACGAATGAAATGGTGGGACAGATAAACGAGCAAATTATGTCACGCGTGGAAGGTGATATTGTTGAGTTTCTCTCTGTAGACACTGTAATGGATACTGAACAAGTAACATCATACCCTGTAGAATTTCTTAATTCTTTAGAACTGTCGGGAGTACCTTCACACAAACTGAGGCTGAAAGTAGGCGTTCCTGTCCTTTTAATGCGGAGTTTAGATGCACCAAGACTGTGTAATGGCACACGGTTGCAAGTGACACACCTCGGTCGCAATATTGTAAAAGCAATCATTATGACTGGAATGGCAAAAGGAGAGAACGTTTTAATCCCCCCGTATACCCATAATTCCGACAGATTTGCCATTCCAGTTTAAGAGATTACAGTTTCCGCTGAAAATCGCATTCACTATGACGATAAATAAAGCTCAGGGGCAAACATTAAAAGTAGCCGGCATTAATTTAGAAAAGAGTTGTTTTTCTCACGGACAATTATACGTGGCTTGCTCACGTGTTTCAAGTCCACAGAATCTCCATGTGTTGGCCAGAGAGGGAAAAACAAAGAACATAGTTTACAAAAATGTACTACAGTAATAAGGCCTCTTATTGTTAGCTTCCTACATTATTATACTACTTACATTAAGTTAGTACTTCCTACGCAGACGATGTTACGGATGTCACACTGTCTAACATCGGGGGTTGGCAGGTAGGTAGTTAGTAGTATTTTAAACCGATTTACATTATTTACTTTTTATATTTACTAAGGAAACATTCGGAGCTATCCATTATGTAGCTTAGGTTGCTTTTGAACAAATTTTGATGTGAAGTTGAGGACTGGAACACGATAGTGGGACATTGTTGCAGGGGGACTTATAGCCGGGAGAAAACAAAAAAAACTTATGCGGACGAAGTCGCGGGTAAAAGCTAGTTTATGAATATTCCAATCTAACATGAATACCTACTCTAATCCAATGTTACTAATAATATTTAAGATGAATAATTTGATCTAATATTTTAATCTATTATTATGAACATGTAATCTATGAAGTACGAATGATATTTGACATTTATATGCCAATGAGGCTGATCACAGACTGAACTTTATTTGTATTCAATTGTAACCTGTGAATCACAAATAAACTATTTGATTTGATTGTCTCGGAGAACATATTAAGTATTTATTTCAAAGTTTGATCTATTTTTATTACAAAAAACAAATGAGAACATTATGAAAAACACAACTAGCACCATCTAGGATAATTAATTATTGCAAATTAACACTAAAATTAAAAAATTGCGGTTGTCCATTTGCTTGCCAAGCGTGGCAACTTGGCATATATATATCTACCCTTTGACGCAATTTTTGGGAGGCATTTCTTTTTTTTAAAATATAGGCGACAAGCGACCACACAGTTCGTATTAACATTTTAAATAAAACAAAAATACAAGAAAATGGTAAGTTAACACTGTGGTCCATAGAAATCTTTCATTTAGCTTAAGAAATAAAATGCAGATGCGTTGTCACCTATAAGGACTAAGACTTACCATAATAAACACATCAACATTAAACTGCTATTTTACAACGGCATTCTGTGAAAGCGTAATCCTTCCTCGGTTGGGTCGACCCATCAGTGCTACAACCATAATATAGCTGCAAAATGACTCAACTACGTGGAAAATGCTAAGCTTGGCAGTGGACTTTTATGCCCACTGTCCGCAGGAATACCATTACAGCTTGCAGTAATGGTAATGATCTGGCTAGTGAGTGCTGTCATTAATAAGCGTGGTGGTCAGGCGGCGCGCAGGCAGCGGGCGGGCCGTTTCGCAAGTGGTTCGCGGCGGGGCGGCCAGCGGCGCGGCGCTCGCGCGTGGGCCGCGTGCCCGCCGCGCTGCTGTGCACTGCCGGCCGCGCGCGCGCGCTGCACGTGCACCCGCGCGACCAGTTCGACAACCCGGCGCCGCTCGCCGCGGTCAGTGCACACTGCACGCCGACACTACACTACACGACACGCGCACACACACACACACACACACACACACACACACGCACGCACGCACCACACACGCACGCACGCGCGCACGGACGCACGCACACACACACACACACACACACACACACACACACACACACACACACACACACACACACACACATGCCGCCACCACGCACCCACCCACCACACACAGACGTATAATACTTTTTCATTTTCATGTTATCTCTACACCTTTCAAGACATTTTATTTAAAATTTTTTTCATACTTCATATATTTAGCGCTATTTCTTTCATAGAGATAATGACCAATATCATTCCATTTACCTTTTTTGCCTATATAGCAATGTAGATAATTTAATTTATTATACAATTGTATCATTACTTTAACGCACACGACTTGCTTATAAACATGATCAAGATAATGGACTGTAGTTTGGCTCACGGTATCCACTAATGTAATACCAATTATAAATTTAATTCAGGACTGGGATCATAAAGGTTGTCTTATTTCATAATGTCTAGAATATCACACTACAGGACAATATTCTTACGCAATATAATATTATAAATGGGAAGTGTGTTTATTTGTTTGTTTGTCCTTCTTTCACGTCGCAACAGAGCGTCGGCATGGCATGATTTTTTGTATGGGGATAGTTCGGTGGCTGTAGAGTGACATAGGCTACTTTTTTCAGCGGAAAAATATATCATTCCCGTGGGAAAATCGAATATGTTGCAAAATTAAATTCAGCTCGGTGGCGCCACCTTGATTCTACAAGACGGGCGACGGTACGATGGACGAACACAGAAGGTCAGAATATCTGGATTATTGTGTCTTTTTACTAAAATTAAGATAAAAAATTTATGGATCTGTATTTTTCCACGCAGGACCGGGAAGAGAGCGATAAAAAACATAAAATTCACCAGCTGATTTTCTTCAAACGTTTTGGTGCATTGTAATTACGAATAGGCGATAACCTCGCAGACGATATTAAGTAATCCGTTGATGCTCTGCCTACCCCGCAAGGGTTACAGGCGTGATTATAAGTATGGATCAGAAATACTATCACCACCTGTCACGCTTTCACCCTTAACTATTACTTAACTGTGGTAGTAACAGTTCTTAGTAAGCCTTATTAATAAGCCTTAGTAATATTTATTGAACGGAAATGAATACAGTTCTTATATGTGGTTAGAATGAATCGGTATTGCAATAAGAAAAATTGTGCAAAATTAGAAGAAAAATATTTTTGAGAGTTCTAACGTACGTATACATAGTTTAAATTGATTTCGATAGATGTCGTTACTAGCTTTTTAAAACGCGGTAACGAAATGTTTCCTGACATGTACTTAACTCCCGCCGTTGAGCCGCGCGTCAACTTAAAGTGCATACGGTACCTATACGCTTAAATTGTTTCTATTTCGTAGCTTATTCGACTACCTGCTTTCGATTTCGGTTGTTTGTTATTTGCTTTTTTTTTTTTTTTTTTTTTTGTTTAAAAAAAGCTTTTTTTTTGGATTTTTTTTATTTATATTGTGAATGGTTTTTTTTTTTTTTTTTTTTTTAAAAAAAAAAAAAAAAAATATATATTTTATAACCAAATTTATTTATTTTTTGTGATTTGGTTTAAGTTGATTCAATTTTTTTGGCTATCGTTTTCGGATTCGTGTTGTGTCTTGAATTGGTTTTGTTGTTTTGATTTTAAAAAATATTTAAAAGGAATATTTATTCCTTTTAGATATTTTGGATTTGCTTTTAAAAAAATATTTAAAAGGAAATTTAATTCCTTTTAGTTATTTTAACGTTTTTTTTATAAATAGGTTTTTTGTTACTTCATAATGCCTCGCAAACGTAATTCCAGCCTTTCAAGAGTATCTTCTCAAAGACAAGCGAAAAGATTAGCTCGATCGCTAGAATCTTTAGAAGATGCTGAACTGAGAAGGAAAGAACAAGCAGAGCGTCAGGCTTTTAGAGCATCTGAGACACGTCAGCAAAGGCGTCTTGAACAGACAGAGCGTAAGGCTGCTTTAAGAGCTTCCAAAACACCTTCTCAAAGTCAGGAAAGGCGTCTTGAACAGGTAGAGCGTCAAGCTACTTTAAGAGCTTCTGAAACACCTTCTCAAAGTCAGCGAAGGCGTCTTGAACAGGCAAAGCGTCAAGCTACTTTATGAGCTACTGAAAGACCTGCTCAAAGTCCAAGTGCGTCTTGAACAGGCAGAGCGTCAAGCTACTTTAAGAGCTACTGAAACACCTGATCAAAGTCAGCAAAGGCGTCTTGAACAGGCATGGCGTCAATCTACTTTAATTAAGAGCTACTGAAACACCTGCTTAGGTCAGCAAAGGCTATTCGAACAAGCGGAACGTCAGGCCGCCTTAAGAGCCGCGGAAACACCTGATGAAACTCAGCACAGACTCATTGAGCAAGCTGAACGTCAATCTACTATAAGGGCATCTGAAACACCAGAACAGACACAGGCGCGAAGAGATGCAAATGCACAGCTCCAAGCTGAACGTCGACAAAATTTTCAAAGAAACAATTGGTCGGTTTTTAATGACGCAGCATTCAATTATGATCCGTTGATTGATTATAAAAATCACAGGTTAGTTTTTATCGGACTGATGGACAAGGCGTTTCGATTTTGCAGCGCTTTAAAATGGAAAGATGAGACCGCAGGCATGTGCTGTTCCAATGGCAAAGTATCTCTTCCGTTACTTAGGGAACCAGAAGAACCTTTGAAAACTCTCTTTTTATATGATGCTAATGAGTACGCGCTTTTTAAACAGGATCCGGAAATATAACTCATGCTTTCAAATGACGTCCTTCGGAGTTGACCGGGAAATAATAATGCCGGGATTTTCGCCTACATTTACGGTATAAGGGCAAATTTATCATAGAATAAGTTCACTTTTTCCAGCTGAAAATGAACAGTATACATTTTTACAAGTATATTTTATGGGTGACGAAGAAATTGAGGTAGACCGTCGCTGCCAATTTATCCAGGGAGTTGAGAGAGACACAGTGTTCAAAATTCAAAAATTCTTGCATGAACGTAACATTTTAGTCAAAACGTTTAAAACTGCTTTAGAAAACCAACCTGAAGAGGATTATAAAGTCGTCGTTCACGCAGATTGGACCCCTCGAGGAGAGCATGAAAGGCGCTACAATGCACCTTTGATAAACGAAATAGCAGCCGTAATTAGTGGTGATCAATTTTCTTCACGAGATATTGTCTTGCGAGCACGTGATGATACGTTGCAACGGGTAGCCGATACACACAAGTTTTATGACGCTCTGCAATACCCATTGATTTATTGCAAAGGACAAGAGGGTTATCATTTTCAAATTCCACTCATTAACCCGGTCACAAAGGAGCCTACTCCGAACAAAAAAGTATCATGTATGAATTTTTATGCGTATCATATGATGTTGCGAGAAAATGATTTTAACCTCTTAGCCCGGTGTAGACAATTATTTCATCAATTTTTGGTGGACATGTATGTGAAGGTAGAAAGTGAACGTCTCCGTTATATATCTTTAAATCAAAAACAGCTGCGCGTTGATAATTATATACATTTACAAAATGCAGTTTCTAGCGACGCCAATGTAAACCCCAGAGATTTAGGTAAAATGGTAATTCTGCCCTCATCATTCGTTAACAGTCCCCGCTACCTACATGGGTACACACAAAGACGCATTCGCCTATGTACGAACTTACGGAAGACTTGATCTTTTTGTTACTTTTACTTGCAATCCCACATGGAAAGAAATAACCGAGGAGCTAATGCCGGGCCAAAAAAGTACTGACAGACACGATTTAGTTGCTAGAGTATTTAGATTAAAAGTACAAAAATTAATGTATGTAATTAACAAAGGGAAAATTTTCGGGGAGGTGCAGTGCTTCATGTATTCAATTGAATGGCAAAAAAAGAGAATTAGCGCATGCCCACATTCTAATATGGGGCTTAAAGAGAAGTTGCGGCCCAGCCAAATAGACGACATAATAAGCGTCGAGATTCCGGATCCTGAGCAAGATAAAGAATTGTATGATACCATCGTTCGAAATATGATTCACGGTCCATGTGGAGCACGAAATTCAATATCGCCATGTATGAAAGAAGGAAAATGTACAAAGAAATTCCCTAAACAGCTATTAAAAGAAACAGTGCACAATGACAATGGCTACCCTTTATACAGACGCAGAGCTCCCGAAGATTGTGGCAGGAAAGTTACAATCAAATCTCGCTCTGGAGCGTTCGAAACCTTAGATAACAGCTGGATTGTCCCATATTCGCCCATTCTATGTAAAATGTTTAATGCCCACATTAATGTAGAAGCATGTAGCTCTGTTCGCGCAATCAAATATATCTGTAAGTACATAAATAAAGGAAGCGACCAAGCAATATTATAATCTCAGGAGTGAAGGTGAGGCAAATCCCGTTAATGAAGTACAGACCTTTCAAGCAGGGCATTATGTCAGCAGTAACGAGGCAGCGTGGCGTCTCCTTGGCTTCCCTTTACACGAAAGGCACCCAACAGTTATTAACCTTGCTTGGCACTTAGAAAATGGAGAGCGTGTATATTTCACCGAAAGAAATTTCCAAGAAAAAATTGCATCACCGCCAAAAACTACACTAACAGCCTTCTTTCAACTTTGTCAAACCGACCCCTTTGCAAAAACGTTGTTATATTCTGAAGTCCCCGCTATAACTTGAACATCTGGGAAGGGGAAACCCGATTCAAGGGCCCTGTTGCAAATGATTTAAAGTCATCAGATGCCCTTGTTCGTGTGTATACCGTCCATGTAACTAATTTTGCATGTTTCTGTTTACGATTGCTGCTGCACCATGTTCGGGGTCCTACAGGATATAAAGACCTTAAAACTGTCAACGATCAGGAATGCGCAACTTATAGAGAAGCATGTAAAGCTCTGCATCTTAGAAAACGATAATCACTGGGATGAAACCATGGAGGAAGCTGTGCAGTGCCAGTCACCAGCCAAAATTAGGGATCTTTATGCAACTCTCATATCATCTTGCGGGGTATCTAATGCACATGAATTGTGGGACAAATATAAAGAGTACTTGGCGGAAGATATTTTGCGAAGGTTACAGCAGACAAACGCGAACATGACATACAATGAACACATTTATAATGAAGCACTTGGAAAAATTGAAGATAAAGTAATGGCAATGGTAGGCAAAAAATTAAGCGACTTTGGAATGATAAGCCCTCAGCGAACAACCGAAAATGAACTAAGTGATGAAATTATACGTGAAACAAACTACGATATACCAGCTTTGCAGCAGCAAGTAGCCGAATTTGTACCCCACTTGCTTCCCGAACAAAAACGAGTTTTTGACAAAGTATTAGGACAAATTGAATCTGGAAATGGTGCACTTTTCTTTTTAGATGCTCCCGGAGGAACTGGTAAGACATTTTTGTTAAATTTATTATTAGCGCAAGTACGGAAAGATAAAAACATTGCTGTGGCCGTAGCTTTCTCCGGTATAGCCACCACGCTGCTAAGCGGGGGCCGCACTGCACATCCTGTTTTAAAACTCCCTCTAAATCTAGCCCAGGAAGACGAACAAATACATAAACTTTAGTGGGACGAAAGTACAAAGTCGTATAAACTGTAGAAGCAACTGAGCAATACCGATGTAATGGAGGAAGGTGTTTTACTTTCTTACCCATTCAAAAGGGCACACCTCAATGAAATTAAAGCATGCCTCAATTCGTCTATTTAGGGAACAAGGTGACAAAATTCAGTTTAACTATGAATATGAGAGTGCATTTGTATAATGATATCAATGCTGGAAACTATGCTGACATACTATTAAAAATTGGCGATGGGCGGTTAGAAACGGATGCTGAGGGCTGCGTTAAATTGACGAGAGATTTTTGTAATTTAGTACAGAGTCATTCCGAATTAATGCGAGCGTTTATTCAGATTTAACGAACAACATGCATGAAGACAAATGGTTATGTGAAAGGGCGATTCTTGCACCAAAAAATGAGAGCGTTAACAAAATAAATTCAGATATATTAAGCGAAGTAACAGGAGAAATAACAGAGTATTTGTCAGTAGACACAGTTATGGACACAGAACAGAGCACTTCATATCCCGTAGAGTTTCTAAATTCTCTAGAGTTGTCAGGTGTGCCCTCACATAAGCTTCAATTAAAATTAGGCGTCCCAGTCATGCTAATGCGAAATTTAGATGCTCCTCGGTTATGTAACGGGACAAGGCTGCGTGTGACACATCTTGGACGGAACATAATCGGTGCTACAATTTTGACAGGCGTAGAAAAAGGTGAAAATGTTATTATACCACGGATCCCTATAATTCCCACAGATCTTCCTTTTCAATTCAAAAGGTTGCAGTTCCCTATTAAGCTCAGTTTTCAATGACAATTAATAAAGCGCAAGGGCAAACGTTACAGGTAGCGGGGGTCAACTTAGAAAAACCGTGCTTCTCTCATGGTCAGCTGTATGTAGCATGTTCGCGTGTGTTAAATGCCCAGAATCTCCACGTTCTTTCCCCGAATGGAAAAACATATAACATTGTGTACAGTAACGTCTTAAAATAGTTTTCAGTTAGTTTTTTTCCAAAATTCCCACAATCAATTAATCAGTATTCCCACAGATCTTCCCTTTCAATTCAAAATTTCCTATTTAGCTCAGTTTCTTTTCAATTGCAAATGCTGCACCTCTGACGGACCTATTAAGCTCAGTTTTCTTTCAACTCAAAAGGCTGCATCTCTGACGGATCTTTTATTTGGCTCAGTTTCCTTTCAATTCAGAAAACTGCATCTCTGATGAATCAATTAAGCTCAGTTTCTTTTTAAAAGTCTGCATTCCTGACGGATAATTATGCTCAGTTTCCTTTAATTAAAAAAAATATCCCATTTCCATTTGGAATAAACAGGCTATTTTCATGCTTTCCTATACGCTGCGTTTCAAAACATTTAAATAGGCTGACGAATCAATTTTGCTCAGTTTCTTTTTAATGGCTGCATCTCTGAAAAATCTAAATTAAAAAACTCAGTTTTCTTTCAATTCAAAAAGCAATGGATAGTTCATTTCGCAGTGACCATGCGGGCGAAGCCGCGGGTAACAGCTAGTTCTTAATAAATTCTCATTTCCATCATTATCAATACATTAAAACTCATTCTGTATTTAATCGCATATGAACAACCTTAATAAATTAATCGGTTATAAGGTTTTCCTTTCAGCTGATCAGGCTGATGTATGTGGATATGCTAACATAGGACAATTTTCTTTACATATTATGTCACTCACAACTACAACACTATCAATACTTTTTATTTATAATTACGTATTCCATTGAATCTATCTTTTATTATTTATTTTTGTAAATTATGATATTGTTTTTAAACATAATATTTTAATGTTTTAGAAAAGAATCAAATGCCTTCATTTTTTTTATCGTTGGGAGGTATTTTCAATAATGTAGAGGAGCCCAAACGACATATATAATAATATTAATCTCAATTGTTGATATTATGAAGGGCGTTCAATGTATTCGCGGTATTAGGGTGATTTGCTAATAATGTGGTTAATTTAAAAAAAAAATCATTAGCTAATGCGGGTATAAATATGAAATTTCATCTTAACAACTTCATTACCTCTTATGTAACCTTCAGTCATAGACGACGAGAATAATTAACTCGACAATGTTGAAAAAAATGGAACACCGTGCGGTGATTAAATTTTGCACTAAACAAGGAAATACTCAAAAAAACATGCATGAAAAAATGGTGGCCGTTTACCAAGACTCTGCTCCTTCAATGTCAACCGTACAGAAGTGGTCAAGTGAATTCAAAAGAGGCAGGGAAAGCATCGAAGATGACCCCCGCCGCAAATCAACCGCCGCAATCACAGCGGCTGTAGAAGAAAATGTGAAAATTACGATAAAGAATTAATTTACCAAAAAAAATGAATAAATTACACGAGTAAGAATTAAAATGTTAGCAGAAATGACTAACCTATCCGTTGATACCGTACACACCATACTCCATGACTCTCTCAACCTTACAAAAGTCAGTGCAAGGTGGGTGCCGCCAATACTCACTGCGCTTCATGAGCAGGCGCGGGTTGACTGTTATAAAGAGTTTTAGAGCTGTGAACTGTCTCGTCACAATCATCATTTAAAAAGAATTCTTCATCTACAGTGCCGTCTCATTTTTTCGAGCCACCACATACTTAGATACTGAATTAGTCCTTTTCACAAGGTCATACTTACCGGTGCTAATGTTTTGTTAATAATTTACTTACGTGGAATTGCATTGTCCACCAAATATCTTTTGTGATGTATGTATAAAACTTCTGTTTGAAAAAAATATTAGTTAAGCCTTCCGTGGCTTCTATCCACATTTTTATGTTTAGATTTTTAAGAAAACTACAGAAATGGTTTGTGTAAATAACAAATATATCTTATCTTATACCAATAAGTACCAATAGTAGTAAGTAAGTAAGCCAACGGGTTGGATTTAGAATCGTTTGGCAGGAATTTAGGGGAGTTAGGTGTTTTATTTTGTAGAGGTTTTGTCCCCGATTATAATACACTACAATGTGTGGTGTGAGTATAGATAGCGACAGTCTCCGAGCGAGAGGTAAATAGAGGCGACGCCATTTTCAGTCTCATTCTTTAACCGCACGAGTAGTACACTATGTTTATTCTAAACTAAAGTCTTAGTACCACTTACTTTCGTACATATTATCGTAGGGGCTTCACTACTTAGTTGACTATATGCTCGTTTGTCGCCCTTATTTCTATAATAAAAACATTGAACTTTGCACAGAAACTTATCACCGAGAAAATTGAGTTTTACGATCCAATTAACTATATTAGTATACTCGTATTTAGTTTGTTAATGTTTATCAATATTTAAATAAAATACGTTGTTTAATGGACAGGGTTTCTCGATCGAGATCAGGGTGGTTGGAGGCGAAGTAGACGAGAAGTTGTCGTCCGCGGCAACGTTTCAATACGACTCCGTCAACCAGCGCGTCGCTGTGGAGATGTGCTTCCCGGAGCCAGGCGTGTACCGCGCCGCAATCTTCTACGATGGAGTGCTGCTGCATAATGGAGAGTTTGATTGTATAGTGCTTACTGGTGCGTTTTTCTCTTTTTAAGTGCTTACAAATTTAATCATCATTAGAGTGATTTATGATTTCATTGGTCAATTATTGTTTTCTTAAAGTGATATAAGTGGAATTTACAACACGTACGAATTAACTTGAGACTCCGCTTGAATGCGACCCCCTTCCCGACTCCCCGCACCGCGTCCCGCGCTGGCCGGGGCGCATACCGATAGCATTTTTGTTTGTTACGCGTCTCGACTCTAGTTCGATATTTTTGATAATTGTTTGTTGTTTGGTTTGGACTTTTGTTTGTTTTTGTTATACTTGAACGTTATTTTATCTGTTTGTTGTTAATTGCGTTGTTTTATTGTTAAGTTTGGACGTTGTGTTGTGCCGTTTTCTTGTGACGCTTAGGAGTTACTCCGCCTTTTTATTTTTAAAAAAAGATGGGAGGAAAGACAATACATAGCCAAGCACGGACACTTGCTCTAAAAGTTTTAAAATTTTTCGAAGATGAAAAATCAAATAAAAAGTTTCTTATTCCTGTGGACCAAGCTTTAAAGAGGGCTTGTGCAGCAACAAGCATATCAAAGGCAACACTACTAAGAATGACAAACGAGGCGAAAAAAGTTCAGTCAATTTCTCAAGACCAAAATGATGATGTCACAGTAGTATCGGAACCATGTACTTCTCAAGCAAGACCAGAACTTAAACTATCAACTCCAGGAAAAATGAGGAAACAGAGCTCAAAAAAAATTGAACTCGACAATTTTGATCTGTGTGCTCTAAGAAACCTTGTCAACAGTTTCTATACAGTACGGAAAGAAATTCCAACATTGAAAAAGATTTTAACGGCTGCAAAAGCAGATCTAAATTTTCCAGGTACGTACTCATATTTATTGACATTTTTTATATGTATTATATTATATCATACTTTAGGTCATATCATATACAAGGTGACGTTTAATTCAAGCATAATCTTGTTAGGGGTGCTAGAACTGGTAATTTGCAACAATTTTATGTATGGACACCCATATGCAAAAGTGAACCATTTCTGAGATATTTAATTTTAAATTATTTTTTGAAAAAATACCACGCGATAACTAAAAATTAAAAATAAAATCTTTATTTTACAGGTGAAAAAACCACGTTACAACGAATACTCGTTGAATACTTGGGGTACAAATTTAAAAAAATGTAAGAACGCAAGACAAGTCTTAATACAAAAGCCAGACATTGCTGCCTGGAGAGCCCGTTATTTACGAAGGAAGAAAGAAAACAAGGAACTTGGGGTGGACAAAAAACCCGTAACTTATTTAGAAGAAACATGGATTCACTCCCACTATACCGTGCGCAAATGCTGGCAAAATAGCAATGACGCAAGCATTAGAAAAAATGATAATCCAGGACAGCGGTTGATATTGGTGCACGCTGGCGGTGAAAACGGCTTTATCTCTGGTGCCGAATTGCTTTACAAATGCAAAAGTAACGCCGGGAACTACCATCACGAAATGGATAGTAAAAACTTTAAAAAGTGGTTGACAGAAAAACTAATCCCAAACTTACCTCAAAACAGTCTCGTCGTTATAGACAATGCTCCCTACCACTCAACGCAGTCTGAAAAACCACCGTGTCCAAGCTCGTCCCTGAAAGGTGAGATGCAGAGTTGGCTTCGGAAAAACAACATTCCTTTTGATGAAAAAATGACGAAACCGGAACTGTACCATATAATACTGCTCAATAAACCACCGAAAAAATATATAGTGGACGAACTCATGATGGACTCATGGACACGAGGTATTACGGCTGCCACCCTACCATTGTGATTTGGACCCCATATATCTTAATAAAACAAAGGGTGGCAGCTAAAAATGTTAACCAGTTTGAAAGGGAAATAGAGGGTTTGACAAGAACGCAACAGACGGCTTCCGATTGGAAGAAAGAAATTAACCATATCGAAAGATTAGAAAATGAATACTGGGAGAGTGATAGACTTGGAGGAATCCAACAGAGAGAATTAATTATATCCCTCGGAGGGGAAGAATCCAGCTCAGAGAGTGAAAGTGAGGACGATCTAATGGACGGAATAGAACCGATCGTAAACAGTGACAATGAATAATAAATATTATAATAAATCCTTATTAATATTCCTTACTTCTATTCCTTGATTTTACATAGTTTGTGCTGTTCCGCTTATACAAGATTGATTCACTTTCACCCTAAGGTTGCCTGGGAGAGATTGCTTGTTAGCAATAAGGTCGCCTGTTATGCTTTGTATTTTTATTGTGTACGAATCTGTAACACTTTTTATAGTGCAATAAAGTGTATAATAAATAAATTAATAATATTATAAATGAGAAAGTGTGTATGTTTATTTCTCTGTCCTTCCTTGACGCATTAACTAAAAATAATATATATATATATTATAAAAAATAAATATTTAAAATATATAAAAATGGCAACAGTATATCACTTATTACTTCACCCCTTGCCAGAACATTTTATTTTGTTTTTATTAATAATCTCATGCAAATCTCAAAAATTTCAAATAAAAAAATATTACGACGCATTATTTTGCACACCGTACATTGACAATTACGTCATGGGCCCAGGTCTCAAGTTAATTCGTACGAGTTATAGTTGGTACAACTAATATACGTATATTTCTAAATCGTAACACATCATTTTTTGTTTATATGAAAATTAGTAGAATATTTTTGTTACGTGGTAGAGCCACGCTGTAGCTATGGTTGTAGCATGAATGGATCGGCTCGACCGGAGAAGGAACACGCTCTCACATAATACCAGCTTAAAATAGCGGCTATGGTGAGTTTCGTGTGGTGAGTGTAAAGAACCGGAGACCTTTTTTACTGGAAACAAGGAATTCCATCGTAGTCCTCAGGGATAATAACGCATTTTGATTCTTAATCGAAGATAAATAGGGATGTTTATGGATCACAGCATCCACTCACCATCAGTTGGATTGTGTGCTCGTTTTTTAACTCACTGTTCTTTTTAGTGTGAAAGAGGAGTGTCGAGTGTACGAGTGATGAAAACCGTGTTGGTGAATTACTTATTCATTTTTGAATAAGTAATTCATTCAACTCCACACATCAAGTTTTGAATGTGTGGAGTTTGTAAGGAGAGCCGATTGTGCAAGTGAGGAGTATCGAGTGTGCAAGTGAGGAGATTCGAGTGTGCAAGTGAGGAGATTCGAGTGTGCAAGTGAGGAGTATGAAGTGTGTAAAAGAGAAATATCGAGTTTGCAAGTGAAAAGTATCGAGTTTGCAAGTGAGGAATATCGAGTGTGCAAGTGAGGCGTATCAAGTGTGCAAGTGGGGTGGAGTGTGTGATGAGTAGGCGCGCAGTTTGTGTGGAGTGCGTATAGTGCGCGTGTGGTGCAGCGGGCGAGGCGGCGAGCGTGCAGCGCGCGAGCGGGAGGCGCGCGCACGCCGCGTTCGAGGCGCGGCTGCTGGCGCCCGGCCGCCCGCGCCGCGTGCTGCTCGCGCTCAGCGCCAAGCATCTGCTGCTCAAGGACTACGTGCTCAAGTTTATCCCCAAGCGCATCGCCGCGTTCAGGCTCTGCCCCTCAACTAAGGTGCGCCACTCCGTTAATCGACTTTAAATACTGCCTTTAAAATATTCGACTCGTTAAAACTAAACTTACACCAAGTTCATGCACTATTTTATGCTACAAAATTGCACGCTTTGAAATCCATAGGTTGTTGGTTCATATCCGACTCAACAGACCAAATTTGTCGGATGTTAGTCCAACAAATAAATGATTTAAAATTAAAACGCGGAGGTGATTGCGCAAGAATAATGTATTAAAATAATTGATAATATGGTAATAGATCATTGTACCATTGCACGAGCACCCACGGCGTGGTTGGTGTGCCACAAATATACTATAATGAATAAATTAATGTAAAGTGGCTCTCTTGCTTGTCAATCAGTAGATTATTTGTAAATGTTATTTATAAATAATAAGTGTGGTGGATTTTCAGCTAACTTTATTACCGCGAATAGGACCTGGTCCAGGGGGCGAATTTACATTGGATGATGGTGTTCAGCCGGCAATGCGACTCTCGTCGCCACAACGGGATTTAATTGCTGCTACGTTCACACAGTTGCTTATAGCAAATTGTGGTGGAGAGGATTCGTTTAAGGTATTTAGTGCCTTGTACTGGTATTCACTTACTCCTTTATTCCCATTAAGAACACTAGCCGATGTTCATTAAAAGCAACCCTATTTTTATTTGAATCAAGACTTAGAAAACTATAACAATCTCTCCTTAAATAGTCATTATGTAACAATCGCTTATGCTTTCTAAAAACATTACAGGATAATCTCTGCACTATATGCACTATATTATACGATGAAATTTCGTGCCTAAAATTGGTATAATTTGTCCGCAGAACAAGCAGGAGTTCTTCTACAGCGAGATGCGCAAGGCACATGCGAGGTATCCTCACGAGAAGCTGAGCGTGCGCGTGCTGCGGGCCGAACTTCTCCGCAGCAGCCTCAAGGCCACACGGCACTTCACTGTCGCCGACTGGTGCAAGAACTTCGACGTCTCCTTTCAGGGCGAGCAGGGTGAGCACTTAATTGTGGTTTCTTGATGATACTTCCCAGGGCACGGGTATTTTCCGAACCAGATGTAAATTGAACGTAAGAATGTATTTGGTAACACAAATGGATCGTCTCTACTACGGTAGGACCACACTCACTAAATACTAGCGAAAAATAGCAACTTAACGCTGCCGTGTGACGGATGTTAAGTTTAGAGAACCGTAACTCTTTTTTTGTGTAACGAGGCATTTCATCTTAGTTCTCAGGGTTGTCGACGTCCGTATTTTGATCTGCATCCACTTACCGTCAGGTGTACTGTGTGTCCAATTGTCACTCTTGTTTTATAATATATATATATACATACATAAACACTCACGCCTGTCACCCAGAGGGGTAGGCAGAGACTACAGACTTCCATTTATCACGATCCTGACATACCTTTCTCTTCCTTTCTTAACTTTCCTTTCTTAATCCTGGTCACCGCATCATCTTGCAAACCACACTCTTCTTTTATCACACAGTTTCTCACCCTGTCACTCAGATTCAGCCCTAACATACTCCTTAGCGACCGCATCTCTACTGCATTTATTCTACTCTCGTGCTTCTTCTGCCACACCCAACTTTCACTACCATACGTTAAAGTAGGGACCAACACAGCATTGTGAATATAGCTGTGTTGGTCCCAAATGTGCCATACGTGCCTTTTTTGACACATTCTGACTTTTCACAATAGAGTGTAGAGCCCCATTTACTTTATTTCCTGCATCGTCGTTCAATATCCTTATCATATCTCCCATCCCTGCTGAATACACATCCCAAATATACGAACTCATCCACTTGCTCAATTAACTCTCCTTCTATTCTTATTTCACATACCGTTTTGCTTTCATCTCTTTCAATAACCATCACTTTCGTCTTACTTGCGTTCACTTTCATTCCCCTTTCTTTTAATGACCTGTTCATTAATGTAACCATCATTTGCAACTCGGCCGCCGACGACGCAAGAATAACTTGATCATCGGCGTACAAAAGGTATTTGATGGTTAACTCACCCTTCTTAACCCGCATTCTTCAACTTTCAAATTTTCCAAACAGCTGTCCATAAATAGGTTGAACAGCCACGGGGAAGCCACACAGCCCTGTCTGACACCTTTATGGATGCCAAACCAGTCCGAGTAGACCCCGTTGATTCTAACACAAGCACTCGAGTCCCTATACAGAGACTTTAATGTCTGTATCAAACCAGCGCTCAACCTAAATGCGTTCAGCGTTTGCCATAACACATCCCTGTCTACTCTGTCATAAGCCTTTTCCAAGTCCATGAACGCACAAAATACTTTTTGGTTTTTCGCCATAAACTTCTCCGCGATCATGCGCATCGAAAATACTTGATCTGTACACCCAATTCCCTTTCTAAATCCCGCTTGCACATCCCAAATTTTATATATTACATTTTAAATAAATTTCAATAATCCTACAAAAATGTTGAAGTGTAGTCAATGAATTTCACATTATTTATGTTTTGCATGGCGGCCGACTGACTAGCTCCGTCCACATATTCAGCTGACTGACCATCACATCTTTTATTTATATGTAATATACAAGTTGTATAACAATTTTCAGCCTTATTAAAGTCATTTTATTACCTCGGCAAATACGGCGGCTCTGATAGTACACCTGAGTCACCTGATCACAGTTTCGCTTGACTGACTGTACATGTTTGTGTATACAGCTATTGTAATAGACTATATTAAAAAACTAGCCTTAGTATTTTTATATAGTTCAAACAGTTTTTTAGGCGCTGGCTCTCTGTATATATTACGAAATTTGTTTCTTAAACGCGTTCACGACGTTGAAGAATTTCCTAGTGTCATTTTTGTCTAGTAATGTTTTTTAATGGAAATTTAAAAAATATATAATAAAATTTAAATAAAATTTTTATTATCGTCATGTAGTGCGATTGGTGAAAGTACAATTATTCATAGAAGTCCCTAATTAATCCCTTTTATAAAAATATAAAAATGTAAGAAAGAAATTTTATATATGCGTTTGGGTCTTAAAAGTTCTCTTCCTATTTTTCATATTCAGTTAGAAAGAGATGATTAAATAATGGAACCATACTTTGCTATGTGGTCGGGGCATAAGAGAATCGATCAACCCTCAACCCGTATTAGTCAGATTCGATAATCTGCATGCCATGCCCTTACGATAAATTATTATAAAAGGGGCCCATGTTATTGCTCAACTGTTACATGCAGAAAAAGAAAAATAAACCATTATTTATTTCAAGATACGTTCATGTTTCATTACTTAAAAACTGATTCAAACCATGCTGCAGGTATATTATAGTTCTAGCACAAGTAGGTCGGCTGGACCGGGAAAGGACCACGCTCCCACAGAATACCAGCGTAAAATACACCTTAATGTTGCTCTGTTTCGTATAGTGAGTGTAGAGAACCGGAGATTTTTTACTGGAAATGAGACATCCCATCTTCGTTCTCAGGGGTGACAACGCATCTACATTTTTATTCTTAATTGAGGGTAGACGTAGGGTAGGACGTCTTTGGGCCACAACATCAAATTACCATTAGGAGAATGACCACCTTCACCTACACCACCTTAAAGTGTAATAATACAGGATATTTGGAAGATGAGTGCAAAGCCTGAGGGGAATGATACCTTCAAACATTTAGAATATATAAATAAAAAATAATAACAACAACTGTTACTGACTGACACTATTAGTAATTAATTGAACAAAATGGGTTTTATTCTTAAAAACCTTAGAAATTCAATTTTAAAAAAGGACTTCGTTAAGTCAAGCTTAGCTTAATATGTTTTAGATTGTTTACTTTCATTTTAAAAATCATCCCCTTCAGGCTTTGCACCCATCACAATCAAACATCCTGTATAATTACACTTTAATTAATTTGAATCAGAAACTGTATGCGTCTTATATATACATTTAAGCTATAACTTATAACTTATTGATCTAGCACAGGCGTGGATTGGGGTGGCGTACGAAGAGAGTGGTTCTCGCTCGTGTGCGCGCAGCTATTTGATGCCAAGTTTGGACTGTTTGTACCGTTCCGTGACTCACCCACCGCACTGGTGCACCCCAACCCTGACCGCCCGCCGCATCTTAAGGTAAACATGCTACTGTACTAAAGTTTCTTACTGAGGTAACTTAGGATTATCAACCTTACCTGCATTTGGTGCACTTTCTTAAAATAGAAGAGGCACTAACAACTTTTACACTGATGATAGAAATTACGCACCGCAAAACTATTCAACAAAAAATGTCCATGTCCAACCCGCCTGCCCAATGTGTTATTCACCACGTAGTCACGTACAATGTTTTAAGGAATGCGTGCTTGCTGTGCCCATTCTCGAAAATGTACTCAGGAAGTCTGAAGATGTCTTCTCATACACCACCTTCATCATCATCATTACAGCCCTTCACAAGTCCACTGCTGAACATAGGCCTTCCGCAAGGAAAGGCGGTCAAGAAAATCGGTTGTTGGTTAATCAAGCTATATGGCCGGCCCTTTGCCACTTCACCTTACTAATCCTTTGGGCTATGTCGGTCACTCTGGTTCTACTGCGGATATCCTCATTTCTAAGTTTATCACGCAGACAAAGCCCCGAGCATAGCCCTTTCCATAACTGGCTGTGAAACCTTAAGCGTCCTCATACGGCTCGCAGTGAAGGACCACGTCTCAGATCCATAAGTCATCACTGGCAACACGCACTGGTTGTACAATACAGTTTTCAGGTTTTGAGGTATACCTGACGAGAAGATGTGTCGTAATTTCCCGAACGCTACCCAGCCGAATTGAATCTGTCGTTTGACCTATCGATCGAAGTTGGACTTAACTAGTCGGATTATATGTCACAAATAAACGCGCGCGTCAACAACTTCGAGCTTAGTGCTCCCAACAACCTTTGTTTTGTCCATGTTCATCTTAAGACCTATCCACTGCGAGACTCTATTGAGGTCATTGAGCATAGTGCTTAGGTCCTCCAGCAATTCTGCCATAAGGACTATATCGTTGGCAATCGAAGGTGAGTGATGTACTCGCCATTGATGTTAATACCGTATCCTGTCCAGTTCAATAGCTTGAAAACGTCTTCCAATGTAGCGGTGAAGAGTTTCGGGGACATAACGTTACCCTGTCTTACATCTCTCTGCAGTTAGATAGGTTTCGAACTCTGTTTTTGTATTCGGATAGCCATCGTAGCTCTAGTGTACAAACACTTTAGCACTTCGATATACCGTTTTTTCATAGTCCACATACGCAAGGCAAAGTGGTAGATTGTACTTTTCGGTTTTCTGTATAATTTGCCGCAGGATATGTATGTGGTCTATGATACTGAAACCTGTTCGGAAATTGACAGAAGACTGACGAACTACAGACCAAATCCCCTTCTGAGCCAAAAGGAGCATCTGACTCGAAAGGGGAATCGGTCTGTAATTCTTCAAGAGAGCTTTGCCGCCTTTCTTGAAGAACAGGACCAGCGCACTTCTGCTCCACGCCTCCGGAATAGGCCCACCATAGAGGACGGAATTAAAGAGCTTGTGAAAGACTCCAAGTACCGGTTTTCCACTCGCTTTCAGAAGCCCCGCATTAATTCCATCCTCGCCCGGGGCCTTGCCGTTTTTAAGGTGCTGGAGAGCTATTCTAATCTCGCTCAGAGTGATGTCCAGGATATCGTGGGAATAGTGTCGAATAAGACTTGCTCTTGGATCGTTACTCACACTTGCATGAGGCTCCTATGATCATGTGTACAGCTGATTTCTTATATTTACGCGAACACTACACATTGAAATAATACTAGTTTTTACGGAATTTATCGCGTATATTTAACTTTTAAATACCCGACGTTTCGAACGCTTTACAGCACTCATGGTCACGGGCAGGACTGAGATGTTCAACGTCCATATGTCATAGTTAACCGCGGTTACCATAGATTAAAATTTAAATTTTGTTCCGATCTATGCAGTATGAACTTATAGTATCTTGAAGTCATGCAGTTGTATGCTTGGGTTGGGATTTAATTTTATTTATTATAGGATCCCAAGCAGATGGTAGCACCCAGCCATCTTCTCTATTGAAATTAGGATGTTTTTTGATTTCAATAGCCTCGCGAATCATCCTTGGAAGGAATCGGTGTTCTTTAGCGAGGATCTGCGGTCTATCAAATCTGATGTAGTGACGGGGGCGATCCTGTACGTGTTCACAGACTGCAGACTTCCCGGAGCGTCGATTCTTCACATCAGCTATATGTTCTTTAACGCGGGTTTTTATTGATCTTTTAGTTTATCCTATGTAGGAGAGACCACATTCACAATCAAGCTTGTACACTCCTGCATCTTGCAGAGGGACATTACACTTGACCGATGGTAAAAACTGACCAATCTTCTTCAGCGGCTTGAAGTATGTTTTGATGGAAGCGCGCTTCAAGATGTAGCCAATCTTGTCAGTGACTTCTCTAACATATGGCAGTACAGCAGGTACACGCTCGACTGTGGCCGGCTTCACTCGTTCACTGTGACGTAGTATTACCGTACGTAGAAATTATCTGTAGTGTCGAGGACTGTTTATTTAAAAACAATATGCGGAAAGAATATTTGGAGGCGATACGTCAAGACATCTCGTCTATGTTACGTCGATGTTCAGTGCCTAAATCGAATCTTCCCAAAGACGAATTTATAGCGTTAAAGAACCTACGCAATAAACACGAACTTACGATTCTCCGCGCAGATAAGGGAAACGCCACGGTAGTCATGGATACGTCAGATTATAATTCTAAAATACAAGAACTCTTGTCGGATGTAAGTACTTATAAAAAAGGTTAAAAACGACCCAACAAATAGCACACTAAAAACAACTAGTGACCTCATAAAGAAACACTCCGAAAAATTAAATCTGGACGTAAAATGGATAATACCTACGTGCGCCAAATCACCAAAATTGTATGGGTTACCAAAAATACACAAGCCCAATGCTCCATTACGTCCCATAGTGAGCCAAATCGATTCACCAACTTACAGATTGGCTCAACACTTAGCGAAAATACTCTCACCACTCAGGGGACATACAGGAGCACACATAAAGGATTCCTACCATTTTGTCAGCGAGATTAAAGACCTACATCTGGCAGACAATGAAACTATGGTCAGTTTTGATGTGCAGTCATTGTTTACAAGCTTACCTGTTGAAGACTGCATCTCAATTGTAACTAGAAGGCTGGAAGAAAACAACATGCCCGTAGAATATGCAGTATTACTCAGACACTGCCTTACATCTGGCTACCTATTGTGGAAGGAGGAGTTCTACAAGCAAGTAGATGGTGTGGCGATGGGCTCACCTGTATCTCCCATTGTCGCCGACATATTCATGGAAGACTTGGAGGAGAAAGCCCTGCTTAGTTCTCCTATAAATCCAAGGTTCTACAAGCGGTACGTAGACGACACTTTCACAATTCTACCTTTAGATAAAGTAGCTGCATTTTTAGACCATCTTAACTCTATAAATTCTAAAATTCAGTTCACAATGGAGTTAGAGGCAAACAATTCCTTAGCTTTTCTAGACGTGTTAGTAATTCGGAATCCTGATAACACCTTGAGCCATACTGTGTATAGAAAAAAAGACCCATACAGATAGATATTTAAACGGTGATTCTCACCACCATCCTTCACAGTTAGCTACCGTGGGTAAATCTTTGTTTCAGAGAGCACGAGGGATCTGTGACAGTAAACACCTGGCTGCCGAGCTCCACCATGTCAAGCAAGTTTTGCATGACAACAAGCTTCTAGTCCCGCGCCTACGTCACAGTGAACGAGTGAAGCCGGCCACAGTCGAGCGTGTACCTGCTGTACTGCCATATGTTAGAGGAGTCACTGACAAGATTGGCTACATCTTGAAGCGCGCTTCAATCAAAACATACTTCAAGCCGCTGAAGAAGATTGGTCAGTTTTTACCATCGGTCAAGTGTAATGTCCCTCTGCAAGATGCAGGAGTGTACAAGCTTGATTGTGAATGTGGTCTCTCCTACATAGGATAAACTAAAAGATCAATAAAAACCCGCGTTAAAGAACATATAGCTGATGTGAAGAATCGACGCTCCGGGAAGTCTTGCAGTCTGTGAACACGTACAGGATCGCCCCCCGTCACTACATCAGATTTGATAGACCGCAGATCCTCGCTAAAGAACACCGATTCCTTCCAAGGATGATTCGCGAGGCTATTGAAATCAAAAAACATCCTAATTTCAATAGAGAAGATGGCTGGGTGCTACCATCTGCTTGGGATCCTATAATAAATAAAATTAAATCCCAACCCAAGCATACAACTGCAAGACTTCATGATACCATAAGTTCATACTGCATAGATCGGAACAAAATTTAAATTTTAATCTATGGTAACCGCGGTTAACTATGACATATGGACGTTGAACATCTCAGTCCTGCCCGTGACCATGAGTGCTATAAAGCGTTCGAAACGTCGGGTATTTAAAAGTTAAATATACGCGATAAATTCCGTAAAAACTAGTATTATTTCAATGTGTACAGCTGCCCATAGAACCTCTCAATCTCACTCAAAATCTTAGTTGTCCAGGAGACGATGCTGCACTCTATTCTCGACTTTGAAGCCCTGGTTCCACTTGATCGCTTCTTCCATACGAGCAGTGTTAAAGTTGCGTAAGTCCCGCCGCATGCATTTACAAATCTGTCTGTTCAGTTGCCTGTATATTGCAAAATCTATTGAAGACTGCAGCTTCATTTCCCGCCTAATAGCCATAAGATTAAGACTGTGATCGGAGAGTTTTTGTGTTCTTCTGCGGCGGGGTTTGCAGAACTTAACTCCGACTGCATGGACAATTTCCATGAGATTATCATACATATCGTCCACTGCGTAACAGTCTTCTAGCCACTAAAAACGGTTTTGTGAGTCGAGTTGAAAAGTTTCGGGACTCTGGATTAAAGCACGTTGGGGACGGAGCGTTGACTTCATTATCAACTCAACGTTTAGGTTCAGTATGCCTCTAACTATTCGGTGATCGCTGCCAGTTTTCACCCTTGCGATCATTGAGACATCACTGAACAGTTGCAGTCTATTCCTCATAATGAAGTCAATCTCATTTTTTGTCTAACCGTCGGGGACCGGCCTGGTCAGCTTTCTGTGGGGCCGCTTCTGGAACAAAGAGTTTATCATAGAGTCCCTCGTTCTGCATGAAGTCGGCCAGCTGCTGACTCCTTGGGTTCCGAGGCCCTATCCCAAATTTTCCAACCTTCAGCTCACTGTACTCTCTTGTGCCAAGTTTTGCGTTGAAGTCTCCCATTAACACCGTATAGTAGGTTTTTGAGGAATGCACGCCTCTAGATATATCCTCATACATTTACTCCACCTCCTCATCGGGATGTGCCGAGGTTGCTGCTTAAAGCTGTATGACCTTCAGCGAATACCGTTTGGTGATTCTGAGCATATGTTATGCAACGTATCTATTTATATATCTATGTTACAGAATCTCTTAATGTAATTTTTACCAACTGGTAGATGGTCGATTGACTTGAAAATTTGCATCCATATAAGGCCCGGTGACAATACAATAATTTATTTACTTTATCTAGTATGCTGATCAAGATCACTCGGATAAAATAAGCTTTTTTTAATATTATAACTAATCTCAATAGGATCATTATGGCCAATAATCAAAGTGTGTTGTGTATGTTTTAAAAATTAATATTATTTAAATATGCAGCTGAAGCACTTCGAGTTTGCGGGCAAGTTGGTGGGCAAGTGCCTGTACGAATCGGCGCTGGGTGGCTCATACCGGCAGCTAGTGCGTGCGCGCCTCACGAGGTCCTTCCTCGCGCAGATAATTGGCCTCCGAGTACACTACAAGGTACTTTTTACTGATTAATTAGGCATCTCATTTCTGATTGGGTTTTAGAGCAAGAAAGCGTTCTCCCTTCCCTCTCTCTCCCTCCCTCTCGCTCCCTCCCTCTCGCTCCCTCCTTCTGTCTCTGCATACAATTTCACAGACTATACATGCCAACGTAACGCAAGGAAAACATATTAAGTTATGTTTCCTTCATTAAACACGTGGCATATCCTCAGTTAAAATTGCGATAAACACTTTCAGTCCTCAGCCCTTAAACACCACAAATTTGTTCAAATTATTGAAATTACTTAATAAAAATGATTGATGTATTTATGTCTTCGAGTTTGAATTTACATCAAAAATGTTAAGTATTCTTTTTTGATTTTTGGATTAACATTATTCGTTGATAAGAAAACCTCTATCACTGTATAGGTTAAAATGTTGATTGGTTTTCAAAAAAAGCTCAAATTGTACAAGATGTTCTGATAATAATCTATTGCGTAGATGCACAGACCGCGGCCCGCCGGTCGAATACTGGTGGCCCGCCGACAGCAAAAATAATACTCTCGTACATTCGAAAAATATTGAATTATATTCCAAAATAAAACAAAAAAAATATGTTCGAAAAGTAATTTGAATCACGCGCGCGCGCTCTAAGTGCGCTTATCGGTGAACAGATAAAGTGAAACCTCTGTTGGACATATTCAGCAATCCTTTCACGATTTCAGTTGAAAATGCGCCAGAGTCAATGCAGTTAGAAATTATCGACATTCAAAATAACCAATATTTACGCAAAAAATTCAACGAAGGAGACTTGCTGAACTTTTACCGCTGCATTGATAAAAATACGTACAATGAGCTGCGCATAAACGCTCTAAAATGTTCCAGCTTATTTGGTTCTACCTATATATGTGAACAAACCTTTTCAATACTAAATAATAATAAAACAAACAATCGAAACCGCCTTGCAAATGAAAGTTTGGAAGCAGTTTTACGTGTTGCTACAACTAAATTTGAGCCAAATATAAAAAAGATTGTAAGCACTATGCAGTGCCACGCTTCAAATTAATAAATTCTTTTTCAATTTTAATACATTATTATCAATTCCTTATTGTCTTCAATTACCTATACTTCTGGCGGCCCGCCATCAGTTCACAATTTGCCCGAGTGGCCCCTAGTCTTAATAAGTCCGTGCATCACTGATCTATTGCATGACACTCACCATGTCCAGACCGCCTGGGTACACCTCTTACCTACTTCTGCACTTCTGTGTTCCGGCTCAAAGTTTTAGAATGACCTTATTGATAGTCATAAAAGGAAATTCATAAAATTCACTCACATTTAAACTATATTACTTTATTTGTAGAGGCTTTTTCTCATATTTTGCTGACATATAATTGTTTACAGTATTTCGAGCAAGACGATCCGGAGCTGTACCTGTCCAAGATCAAGTACATTCTGGATACTGACTTGGATGCTGAGGATGCTCTCGAGCTTACATTCTCAGAAGACGTTTATGATTCTAGCGGGCACCTGGTCGAGACACATGATCTTGTACCCAATGGTTCGTCTATAAGGGTAAATATTGCTTGCTTAATTATTAAATCAAGTTGGCTCAATTTTTTGTCTTGTTTAATGTTGAAATTGTTACGTAAAATTGTTTCAAATGAATGAATGAACAAAGCAAGTTAACGATGTTCAACGGAGTCTACTCGGACTGGTTTGGCATCCATAAAGGTGTCAGACAGGGCTGTGTGGCTTCCCCGTGGATATTCAACCTATTTATGGACAGTTGTTTGGAAAATTTGAAAGTTGTAAGTTTTGGAAAATTTGAAAGATGCATTCTGGATTAAGAATGGGTGACTTAACTATCAAAAGCCTTTTGTACGCTGATGAAGTTATTTTTGAAATGTCGGCGGCCGAATTGCAAACGATGGTTACATTAATGAACATATCATTAAAAAAAAGGAGTATGGAGGTGAACGCAAATAAGACGAAAGTTACTGTTTTTGAAAGAGAAGAAAGTAAAACGATATGTGGGATTAGAATAGAAGGGGAGTAGATCGAGCAAGTAGATGAATTTGTATATTTGGGATGCGTATTTAGCAGGGATGGGAGATATGATAAGGATATAGAACGACGAGTGAACGCTGGAAATAGAGTAAATAGGGCCCTACACTCTATTGTGGAAAGTCAGAATGAGTTAAAGAAAGGCACGTATGGCAATTCACAATGCTGTGTTGGTCCCAAACTTAATGTGTGGTAGTGAAAGTTGTGTGTGGCAGAAGAAGCACGAGAAATGAAAAGAAAAAGAAATGCGGTCGCTAAGGAGTATGTTAGGGCTGAATCTGAGTGACAGGGCGGGAAATTGTGTGATAAGAGAATAGCGTGGTTTGCAAGATGTTGTGACCAGGACTAAGAAAGGAATGCTTCGGTGGTTTGGTCATGTGGAAAGTTTGAATAAGCAAAGAGTGACAAAGCAAATTTATGTTACAGAAGTGAACGGCTGAGTCGGAAAGGGACGTATATTGAAAATGTATACGTAGTTATATGAATGTGGAGGAGGCGACAGAGGTGTGTCAGGATCATACCAAATGGAAGTCTGTAGTTTCTGCCTACCCCTCTGGGTGACAGGCGTGAGTGTTTATGTTATGTTATGCTTATATGATCTCTCGCCTCCTATACTTCCATATATCTATGCATACACGCTCGTCGGTTAAGGGTACTTAATTAAATTAATGAATAAATAAATTATTATATGAATAAATCATTGAATAAATAAATTAATGAATTAATTAATCAATACATTAATGAATCAATTAATAAATTAATGATTTTATGAAAGTATAAATAAAGTAATGAACGCATTTGTTAATGAATAAATTAACGAATTAATTAATAAAAAATAAATTCATAAACGAAAGAATAAATTAAAGAATGAATGATTAAATTAATGAATGAATTGATAAATTAATGAATGGATTAATTAATTAATTAATGCGTATATTAATGTATGAATTAACTAATTAATAAATGGATGAAAGGTATTGAGTACTGAACATTCAAGAAGTGCCAATGGGACATTTTATCACATTAATTGAATGCGATGTGTCTGAATTTAGTTCCCATAACGCCTCTTACGACACCAATGGGACGGAATGTGGTGATGTACTCTCTTATGCCTCCACCTCTCGGCTGTGAGCGGTACGTGGGGTGGGGTGGGGGGGGGGGTTCCTTTACGATAGTTACAGTTTTATTGTAAATAAAGTTACATACTTATCTGAAATAAACTTCAAATCACGTTGAAAAAGTGCGTACATAAATAACGACAGCGTTTTCGAAGTTACATAAACAAAATCAATGTTGGATTGTCGAAAACAACGTACGCGGTTTGCAAAACATGGAACTGATTTACAAAGAAATGGTCGTCTCGGCCGCTCGCAATCAACTAAAGGTGTTAATAATTTTTAATTAATACCGTTTGTTTTTATAGAAGAACACATCTACATTTTTCAACGATTAAGAATAAAAATACAGATGCATGTCACCCTGAGGACTAATATGGAATGCCTTGTTTACACTAAAAAAGGTTTCCGGTCCTCTCTTCTAACCATAGGAAACATCAGCATTAAGCTGCTAGTTTACGTTGGTATTATGTGAGAACGTGGTCCTATCTCGATCGAGCGGACGCATTCGTGGTACAACCATAATCCATAATATACAAAAGCAAATCCACATTGAAAGGAACAAATTTCTTTCCAAAAAAAATTGTCAGGAAATGGGTGGGCAGGTGTGATTGGCTGCCATTTGATTGGGAATCATTTTTTATAGGATAGGGTACACAAAAAACAAGCACACAGTCCACCTGATTATAAGTGGTTGCTGCGGCCCATAGAACATCTACATATATCTTCAATTACAAATCAAAATGCAGATGCGTTGTCACCCGTGAGGACTAAGATGGAATGCCTCGATTCCAGTAAAAAGGGTCTCCGGTTCTCTACACTCACAATACGAAACACAGCAGCATTAAGCTACTATTTCACGCTGGTATACTGTGAAGCGTGGTCCTTCCCCGGTCGAGCCGGCCCACAACTATTTCGTGTCTACCACGTATAAAACTTCCGGTTACTCTAAATTGAGACATTTATTTCGAGTTTGTAGAAAATTATTTGCCTAACCTACTTTAGGAAGCACCAATAATAGACAGAAATAATTTTTCTAAATGATGGCAACCCAGTGTACTACCAAGTTACGTCAGGGAACATCTAGATAATTATTTTGGAAGAGTAGAGCCGTTGCACTGGCCTACTCGATCGATGGATTTGACCCCTATGGATTTCTATACCCAGGTATGGAAATCGATAGGGACACTACAGTGTCTCTTCCGTGTACAAACCTTAGTTCTTGTCTCGTGGTATACTTAATTTTTTTTTTGTATGCAGGTGAACAACAGCAACAAGACACAGTACCTGGAGGCGCTGGCGCAGTGGCGGCTGGCGGCCCGCGTGCGTCTTGAATTGGCCGCCTTCCTGCGGGGCCTGCAGCTGCTCGTGCCGCACCACCTGCTCTCCATCTTTGACGAGAACGAGCTAGAGGTAACCGCGTCACACGCACACCTACACACATGCGCGCGCACACACACACACAACCCACTGCGGCATCTACAATCAGTGATATACCCACCACGTTCACAACACTATACAACAATCACATTTAACATATTCGACAAACCCATCGTTCTCATCGCAAAAAATATTAATTAGTAGTGGTCCCAAAGCTTGTGGCAAACGCCAATACGGTAGATACAAAGGTTGAGTTATTTAACTCTTTTCTCATACAACTGTATGACGTTCATGCTCCAGTAAAACCAATATACATAAAACACTTACCTGAGCCATGGCTAACAGATGATCTTAAACATTATATAATCAAAATAGGCTTTGCCAAAAGCAAGCTCAGGGCCGATAGATCTGAAAAAAATCTGCGAAATTACTACAAGGATCGGAATCGCTGCAATACATTGTGTAGGGATGCACAACGCCACATTCATTCGAATCAGACGAAAACAGCGACACTGCCAAGGTTTGGAAATTTCTTCAATCACTTGGAGTTGGTAAAGCATCTTCTAGCTTATCGCATAATAATATTGATATTGAACTCCTTAACCAACATATACTTCATCTAGGACAATAGACAGCTCAGGCAAAGAACGCACGCTGAGTATTCTTTCTTCAATACCTACTCCTAATATCCCACCGTTTAAATTCACTCCTTTCACTGACTGTGATTTTAAGAAGAACATATTATCCATTTCATCCAAAACCGTGGGTGATGACAGTTTTAGTCGTAACATTATCTTACATATCCTTGAATTCGTTACTCCCATTCACACCCATATCCTGAACAAATCTCTTTTCACTTCTAAATTCCCTGATGCTTGGAAGAAGGCACAAGTAATTCCTCTCCCTAAGAAGACCCAAGCCTCATATTTTACAGACTTTCGCCTTGTTTCCATTCTTCCATTTCTATCTAAACTCCTAGTGAAACTAGTTTTTCACCAATTAAGTATATACCTCAATAGAAATTGCCTTTTAAATCCTCTTCAATCCGGTTTCCGGTCAGGTCATAGTACGACTACAGCTTTGGTTAAAGTTACTGACGATATTCGACGAGGTATGTATAATAAACAGCTCACTGTGTTGGTATTATTAGATTTAAGCAATGCCTTCAATACCGTTTATTTTGATCTTGTTAAGTCTGTTACGTTCTATTAACATATCTCCTATGGTTGGGTGGTTTCAAAGTTATCTTAGAGCTCGCTGGCAGCGCATTCGCATTGAAGATAAATTTTCGTCTTGGTGTGAACCGCGAGCTGGAGTGCCTCAAGGTGGTGTGTTGTCTCCTTTACTCTTTGCTATCTTCATTGATTCAATCTCCCAAAAATTATCTTCTCTCTATCACATATATGCAGACGATCTTCAAGTGTATACACAGTCAACTATTGAGGACTTTCCTACCGCTGTTTCTACCATCAGTGCTGACTTGGCGGCTATTAGCGAATGGAGTAAGTGCCATAGGCTTAAAGTTAATCCTTTAAGTCTCAGGTCATTATTGTTGGCAGTGCTGGCGTGATTTCAAGGCTAGACTGGAATAGCTTTCCCTCGGTGGTATTGAATAGTGTTGTAATAACTGCAGTACCACGGTTAAATACGTTAGTGTCCACTTCGATGCTACTTGTTCGTGGTCTTATCAATAGAAGGAAGTAGAAAGATTTTTGCTGCTATGGGTTTGCTCAGGCGTTTACGTTCTTTTCTACCCATTCCTACTAAGATGTCAGCGCAATCTTTACTCCTCTCTATTATCGATTATGAGGTCGCAAGCTATCTTGATTTAACTGAAGATAAACTAAATAATCTTGAGCGTATTCAAAATTTCGCTATTAGGTTCATATTTGGTCTGCGCAAATATGACCATGTTTCCGAATTTCGTTTAAAGTACAAATGGTTACCCATCCGCCTTCGCCGGAATCTACCAATTATTTCTCTTCTGTACTGTGTATTATTCAATCCAATGACTCGTCCTAGCTATCAGAAGGAAAACTTTAAGTTTCTTGGTCATGACAGACTAGATAGAGTTTGACGGTCAGCCGAAGAACTTATACTCGCGCCGCATTACTATCGTACTAGATGCGTAAGAACTCCTTCACAGTTAAGGCCATCTGCTTATGGAATGATCTTCTCCGCAAATTCGTCGAGCGAATACACTAGATTAAAATTGACGTCAAAAATCACATGTCATGACATGACAGATAAAACAAAGTCGAACGCTAGTGAATTTGAGAGACAACTCAAGTTGCTTACTATTCAAAGAGAATATGCATTTCGAGAAATTCAAATAATATATTATGATTTATCGAAGAATATCCAAACAGATGATACAACTTCTGCGTCTCAATTCGCGGCTAGGTTTAAGCGTATTGATTTAGTGCGTAAAGAATTCTTGGATTATACGAATCAAATAAACGAGTTAAAGTTAAAATTAAAGCCGGACGATATTATTGATATGAAGCCTGTGATTGCGTTTGACGACATGTACTACACCGTCGATGCCGCCAGGGCTGCTCTCAGTGAGGGTCGCGCCCGGGCCGACCGGCAATGCGACCCGGACCCGAATTTGACTTCCGGATTATCATACCATAGTATGAAACCATACGCGCAAGCACGCTTACCAAAATTCGAATTACCGAAATTTGATGGAAACATTGAACATTGGCATACTTTCTTCGATACATTTTACACCCTTGTACATGAAAACTATAATATAAGGTCAATCGAAAACTTTCATTATTTGTTGACGTGTCTCTCGGGTTTGGCGTTGTCAATCGCGAAAGAAGTGCCAGTTACCTCTGACAACTACCAAATTGTTTTTGACGCTCTAATCGAGCGGTTCCAAAATGAACGAATTTTGGCCGCAACGTACTTGAATAAAATTTGTAGCTTTATTCGTTTGAAGTCTGGTAATTATGCCGATTTACGTAACTTAACCAATATGTTGAATGAAACCGTTAATGCTCTGAAAGCTATAAAAATTAAGAACTTAGATGAGTTTATTTTATTTTATTTAGCGGCACGTGTTTTAGATTCTGATACGCGTAAACGTTTCGAGATACAAAACGGGGAGCAAATTCCTACCTTTTCTGATTTATTAATTTTTTTTACAAAGTTATGTTAAAGTACTAGATGTTAGTCAACCGGGTAATTTTTCTGACTCTGTTTTTCAGTCAGGAGTCAGGACAGTTGCTTAAAAATTTTGTGCGTGCCACCGGGACACGAAATAGTCACAATAATAAACAATATCATAGAACTTCATCATTGCCTTCGAACACTGCTATAGGTTCAAATGCTGCAAATAAGCTGATTGTCTGTGTTGCGGGCGGCACATGCGCTTTTCAAATGTTTCAAGTACCTGATATTTTTGAAAGATACGGCTTAGTGTCGTATCGTTTGAATCATAATGCCAATAAATGTTTTTCGAAAAATACATGCTCAACATGTGGTGAGCGTCACCATTCGTTGCTCCACGATGGCACCGCCATTGTTGCTGTTCCGTGTTGCTCCACTGACAGGACTATCGATAACACAGCAGCTGCGGCTGACGACTTGACCGCGACTGCGAGCTCCGTGACTACCAGCGCTCACGTTGGTCGCAGTCGTGCTCTCGTTCTACTCGGCACATGTGTAGTGCGCGTGCGCGGTTGCGGTGCTCCCGCTCAGTATACTACTGCCCGCGCACTTATTGACAGTGGAGCTCAGGATAGTTTTATGACGTTATCACTCGCTCAACGTTTAGGGTTGCCCATTCGCCGCTGCAATTTAGCTGTAACGGGTTTAGGAAAAAATGTAGTGCATCAAATTAAGGGTGAAACTCCGTGCGTGCGTATGCGTGGTAATGCCCACGGATTCTAATAGTCCAAATTTCACTATTAATGCTATAATAATGAATACAACAAGTAAAATGCCTGTCGTAGAAGTACCTTCTGGGGTTCGTGCAAATTTTAAACATCTAGTTCTAGCAGACAAACAGTTCGACAAACCCACTAATATAGACTTGCTGCTGGGCGTAGAACTATTCCATAAAATTTATGATAGCCAACGCCTAGAAATAGGTCCTGGTTTACCAGTCGCTATACGCAGTGTCTGGGTGGGTGCTCACTGGCAAAATTAATTACAGCTCTCATCCTCCACCTATGGTGTCTTCCTTCGTTTCTTTCACGCGGCTTTTGAATGACGTGGTCAAGCGTTTTTGGGAGGTCGAGGAACCACCTAAAACATTTATAGCGAACCCCGAAGAGGTAAAATGTGAAGAACTATACTCCAATCTTGTGTCACGTAAACCTGACGGTCGTTACGTCGTTCCTTTGTTACTGAGGAAGCCTTGTGATGATCTGGATGAATCTTTCGATATGGAAAAATCACGCTTATTCAAACTCGAAAAGCGACTTGAGCGCAATGAAGAATTAAAAAATGACTTATCTGATTTTATGACGAAATATTCAGATCTGGGGCATATGCAACACGCAGACGTTTGATCAGGCAAATTTGTAATTCCGCATCAGTGTGTACTCCGCCCTCAGAGTACTACGACAAAACTACGTGTCGTTTTCGATGCAAGCGCCAAAACGACGAATGGAAAATCATTAAATGATATCGTATACACTGGGCCTAAGCTACAAAACGACATTGTTGATGCTCTGACATAATTTTGTCTTCACGCAATCGTGTTCACCTCCGATATTTCGAAAATGTATCGCAATATAGATTTACGTCCGGAAGACCGAGGGTGGCAACACGTGTTGTGGAGAAATTCTCCAGCTGATCCCGTGGGTGAATTCGAATTAAATACAGTGACATACGGTGTAACTAGTTCACCGTACTTAGCCATTCGTACCCTGCATCAACTAGCGGACGATCATGCTTCTGAATTTCCTCAAGCGGTTGACGTTTTACTTCATGACACTTTTATGGACGACATTACGACGGGAGCGCCATCTTTAAAACAGGCACTTGAGCTTAAAATGAACTTATGAAACTACTGA